CTGGGCGTAGTTGTTGTGACGTCGGCACGTAGTATGTGCGTCTGTATGGGTGAGGCTGCAGCAAAAGATGCTGTGCAGCCTAGGTCAGATCCTCGACCTAGTCACGTACTGAGGTTGCACTCTGCACGTGAAAGATATATTGAACAGACCTAGTCACCTACTAATTTGGTTGTTGGTGACACCCGCAGAACCTTGTGAAAGGCACTCTGCACACGAGCAACCGTAACAAGCTGTTTTCACAACTCTATTCGCCGGCCGGAATCAACGCCTAGAAATTATGCCCCCGAATGCTCTACACGAACAGTAGCGTACCGAATGTGCAACAGCGAACGCCAGGTGATCAGTCTGGGCCCAGTAAGCAAGCGGGTTGAATCAGCGCAGTACCTCCAGCAGAAGCTAACTCCAGCAGAGGGACCTCCCCATAGAATCGTAGAAGACGATGTGTGTGTGCAAGCCACAGCACTCGACGACAGCAGCAGCAGAAGTCGCAGTCGCCGCAGGCCTCCACTCACTCATAGTCGAGGCTACAAAACCTGCTGTGGATATCGTCTGAGATACCCTTGACAAGTGGGCAAGGCTGTGCCTCTCGATGGTACTCGAGATGGTTGGCACCGCGAGCGGTTGAAGATCAAAACTAGGGTACTTCTTGTGCTGTGTAGAGACGTGAAAATATGTTAAACACTGGCGCGTAGTTGGCCAACACACTGATAGATCCACAGAGAACGCAGAGGTCCAGATGACGGCAATTCCTAGAGATGACTATCCAGAGAAGTTCATGCGAGAGATCCATGTGAGAGATCCATGCTAGAGTGAGAGACACGCGATCCCTCGAGCAGAGATTGCAACAGCAGTAATTCCTCCGCACACACGATGCGTTACGTATGAACGAAACATACAGTATCTACGATGCACGATCTACGATAGAGAGCAATGCTACTGAACATTGACTAGTACAGGACATGATCCAATATTTCCATAACAGGAGGAGCTTGGCGCAAGAGGTGGCAAGTATTGGTAGCAACATTGTGCCGTGTTTTGCGGAAGGGGGGGAGGGGAAAGAGCTGAACTGTCGAGGTGTATCGCTCTCTCTGTGTTTTTCGTGGGTCCCTTCTCCTTTTTTGTATCCTCCGGCTGCTGCTGTGTTGTAATCTCGCATTCAACCATGTGGTACCGCTCAACAAACGTCCCACAACCACGCACTGTGTCCCACCCGCTACACAGATGCTACTCGTGGACATGTGCTTCCAGGCGAGACAAATTTCAATGCCAGGCTGACGGAAAACCGCCTTATCGCCCGTCCCCTGATCTCTCAAAAGGTGAGAGAACGCAAGCTCGCCGAGAAGGAGGCCGCTAGATTGGAATCTCAGGAAAAGCACGACGGAAACATCAACAACGACAACGAGCACAGCCGGGGGGGGGGCGTGGACGCCGACGACCACCCCACAGCCCCAGCGAAGAGCGACGGCGCCACAAACCCACCAAGACACGATGCTCGGCCTAGCGGCACCGGCAAGTCCTGTGACGGAAAAGGGCAGGAAGAGGAACTCACGAAGCACACGCCGGAGGCCCGCACGGCGATATACCGCGAGATGGCAGAGCAGAAGAGGGAGAAAGAAGAACGGCAGAAGGAAAACTTGCCCAAGGACCGTAACTTTGAGCTCGAGCAGGTGAGAGAGGGGGGGAAGGAATCTGGGACCCCGGGGGGGGATGGAGGGTACGCACATGTGTATCTGGCGTTTTCCGTGTAGTCTAGACCTTCCCCATCAATCCATCGTGAGATGGGTCGTGTTTGAACGAGGCGGGCCGGGCGGGCCGGGGGCGGCGGGCGGGGGTACTCGTTTGTTTTTTTCTTGCCGCAGGGAATTCCGTTAACGGCGTACCGCCTTGCGAGACGGAGTACCGTCCCCACCTTTACCGGCGACAGGGAGGACAAGGGGGGGGTGGTAGCAGTGGTGGCTAGAACTGTCTGTCCGCTACCATACGAAGGTCCGCTGGCTCCGTCAACTCCGTGCTATTGTTTTGACTGGGTGGGTGAGTTTTGTCTCGCTGCCTCTACTTTGATTCGTGATTGTTTCATTTTGACTGCGCAACTTGTGCAAGCAAGCAGACGGTTCTTCATCGAACTAACACAGAACGAATGAGAAATACATGTATAGGAAGAGGAACGATTTCCCCAACCCTGCCCCTGCACGCTTGTGACGCCATGGTGTTTTCCTATTCTTGCGTGTATGAGACGTCTTGTATTTATTTCTACAATATTCTTGTGTTTAGGCTGCCGCGGTGGAGAGGGCCCGCAAGCGAGAAGCCGAGGGCACGATCAGACAGTGCAACGAGGCCAAGCTCGAGTTTCGCTTTGAGGAGACCGGAGCGGCGACGTCGACCGCGGGGGGCCGGGTGGGGCGAGGAAGCGGCAGCAGCGGGGACATCGTGCTTGAGGTGGCGGTACCGAAGCACCTAGACTCTTCCCTCATCGACCTTGACGTACACCCTCACTACGTCAGCGTCGTCATCAAGGGCAAGGTGCCTTCCTTCCTTGCTTTAGGGGGGGGGGTGTACTCATTGCCGTGCATGCCGTAGCCGTTAGACCATGAACGTGGCATCCCTACAAATCCGGGACGGAGAACGCCGGGTTCTCACCGGACCGGGCTTCCTTGCTTGGGGGGGGGGGTTCTCCCTGCCTTACCCCTTCCTGTAGAGTTTGTTCTCTGGACGTTGTTCCTGGGCCTTGAATCTACTCCTGTGCGTGTGGTTTCCCTTGCTTTAATGGGCCCTATATTTTTTTTGAAGCTGGTCCTTTGTTTTTTGGGGGGGTTGCCGTACCTTGTGGCCGCGGAAGCTCGTTTAGTTTCCCTTTCCAAGCGCAGGGTGCTAGATATAGGGTCATGGACGTTTGGTTAAGCGAAGACATCAATAAACGCAATAACGACAACAGCTTCCGTCCGTATATCGATGTGTCGATTCTGGTGCGAACAAGTTTCGTGGAAATGAACCGTCCAGGGTGCTTTCACGTCTGTCTGCGTTGCTCCTGACAACGCATGTTTACCTTTGTTCGTCACAGACGGGGGTTGCGCGTCTTCTAGGCCTCCAAGGCCTTGCTCGCGAGCGAGAACAACGACAGCGTACTCATCTAATTCTCAAACGGCTTCGTTGTCATGCCTACTTGTTGGTGTCTTTCGCGCCGCCGCAGCGACCCTTGTGGTGTGCATGGGAGTACATCATACCACTCGCTCTCGGCCGCCTGCCTACAGCAGTAGCCTTCTATTCGCCCCTAACGGCCGTCCCCTGATTCGTGCAGGTGCTGCGCCTGAGCCTTCCGGCGGAGGTGAAGGCGGGAGAGGCTAAGGCTAGACGTAGCAGGACAACGGGCAGCCTTGTGGTGACTATGCCCAAGGTCGACCCCGATCAGGTGATGGTGATGGCTGCATGACACAAGATATCACCCCCAATTTTTTGGGTTTCATACCATCGATGTCTCAACGGTAGAGTAGGGTGGCAGGCAGCGCCGAAAACGGCAGCGTCTGGTCGAAAGCTCTCCGAAAACGTATCGTTTCATTTATACATTCTCTTCGTCATGGAGTAGTCAAGCTTTGACCTGGGGGGTGTGGTATCTTGTGTCACCTACAGTATGCACGTGAGACAGAACGTTGACGTTGCCAGCACGACGGGCGGACTTGTCGTAGGCGGGGGGTTGGCGGAATACACGCCATCATCGGGATTTATTCAACAACGGGCGGGGGCGCCGGGATCGGGTGTGTGGATGTGGTATGACCGTGTGTTGATTCTGTTGTAAATCTCCGTGTCAAGTGAATTAACACAATCTTTTGAGGTGAGGCTTTTTGATAGTCCGAAAGCTCTCTTGCCCATGACTCAAACGTGATAGAATTGGTGCCTGGTATTGGACTCGGGTCTCCTTTCCTCCTGCCCCCCTCCAACCCTTAGACTATTTCGGGATTCTCCGTGTGCGCGTGTGCCTGTCTGTTTGTCTCTCTCCCTCTCTCTCGGTTATGTCTCACTTTCTCGATCTCCCTCCCTCTCTCGATCTCCCTCCCTCTCTCTCCCTCCCTCCCTCTCTCCCCCCACCCCACCCCCGGGCATCCTTGCAGTCCATAGGCCTCATCCCAACCGATGGCAGAAGGCGGGCCCCTGGCGTTGTTGCGGACCGTGCGGCCGCCTCCAAGAACGCCGCTAAGAACGACGCCGGCCGCACGAGGCGTCGAGGGGGGGGACGGGCCCCTACTCTGGCCGCACTAATGATGGTGGGGAGTGAACGACGGACGTACGTGACCGTAGCCGTGTCGATGCGGAGAGTCCTGGTGTGATCCTCCGGCCCAAGCACGCTACTGCTGTTGTGCGCTTTCTACACCCCACCACGGCTACGGTGTAGCACTACTTTAGGCGCATCAGACATACACAGATGTGTGTGTGTGTGTGTGTGTGTTTTTTTTTTTTTATTATAAGCATCGACCGCGCTAACCGGCTGCCCAATGAAAAGACGTCAGTCACAGTGCGGTTGAAAACACAAAACACTTTTATCTTCCATGAACTGGGACCCCGTGAGGGGGCAGCATGGGGGAGGCTAAACTATCCTTCGGATCAAAGACAGAAACGATGTGTGTGTGTTTGTGCTTTTTCAAGAGGAACGCGCTACAAGTTCCGTGTTCTGTCGCCGTACGCCGCTGGCCCACCTTCTCGGGGGGGGGTGAAGATTTTCCGTGACGGCCGCTGGGTGAAGCATGTGTGCAGCAGCATCTCCTTGGTAGATGAAACCACATCCAGCGTTCTGGTACATGTCGTCGCCATCTGGCGCCGACAATGTAGCCCCCGTTCTGGCACGACAATTTAGCCCCCGACCTACTGGGTGTCTCTATCCATGTCTTCTACCGCAGGAAGAGGCCCAGGCTGCGGCGGCGGCGGCAGCAGCAAAGGAGGGTCAAGAGGGTGCGGGAAAATCGGCGTCGGCAGCAGCTGCAGAACCGCTGCAGGCGGTATCGATTCGCGGCATGGTCGGCCCTCGACACGGCGGTCTCGAGCCGGAGACGGCGCCAGAGCTCTCTGAGGTGAGCGCGTGGGTCGCTTCCTTGTGTCTGCGACTTCGCTATTGTGGCACGTTGTGCGTATATATGTATTGGTTTCGCTTTTCTCGCATCATCGCCCGCCCTCTCCCCACACTTTGAGCCCCCGACACCCAACGCCGAAGATGCACCTATTACGTGTGGCACCTGATTGCTTAGGAGAGCAACCGACAGCAGTGTGCTGTTGTTTCGTAGTCGACGCAAGGCACAATGAATAGCGTTGTGGGAGCCCAACGCCTCACTCGTCCGCCGGGGGGGGGGCGGGGGGCGGGAGGCATCACCTGTTACCGGTGGCAACCGTCAAGCCCGCTCTGACCCGTCGTAAAACGTACCCCCACCCCCCCGCCCGTGCCCGGCGGCAGGTGGTTTCTTCCGTCAAGCGCACCGGCACGGTCAGCGCCAGCGCAATTACCACAGGCCCTTCGCCCCGCGTCAAAGCAGGAGCAGGAAGAGGGGGAGGAGGGGGAGGAGGTGGAGGAGGAGAGTCAGCAGAGTCTCACGATCTGCCAGCGCCACCCCCTCGACGCGTAGGGAATTTGCCCCGGGATTTCGGGCAGAAAATGAAAATGGGAGTCGTTCCTCCCGCACCGCCCTCTGGGGATTCCGGTTCGATTCGCTGCGTGGAGGGGGAGGGGACGAACGAATCGTGTCCCCTGGGTGGTCGTGCTGGCGTGGCGGTGGCAGCAGATTCCGCCGGTCGGAATTGGCTGGAAGAAATGGATTAAATTGGTGTGAGCTTGTTTTTTTTTTTTTGGGCTGGGACGATTTTTTGCGAAAGGGTGCCGGGATGGTTTGTGTATCGCACTAATTTAGTTTACGTGGCAAGCGTGTTTTGCGAAAGGGTGCCGGGATGGTGTGTGTATCGCATTACAGTAGAGGTCCCTGTTTTGTGCCGGGGTGTGCGCAAAAACTTCACCGGCACTATACCGGGCACCGGCACTATTCAAAGTACAGAACGACTTGGTGTTCCAGTGTGTGCGAGCCGAAAACACCGGCACTATACCGGGCACCGGCACTATTCAAAGTACAGAACGACTTGGTGTTCCAGTGTGTGCGAGCCGAAAACACCGGCACTATACCGGCAACCGGCACTATTCAACCGGCACGAAGCAGGGACCTCTACTATACTTTTAGTTTACGTGACAAGCGTGTTGAGCTCTTCCTCGTTGTTTGATTTCCAAACGAGACGTTTGTCCGAACCTCGGTCCGGGTCGGAAGAGTTTTGTGCATGTGTTGCGCTTTTTTTTCTTCATGTGCGTCTCGAACACGAGGGGCACGACACCGTCGGCGGCGATATCAAGACTAGCCATGCTCTTGAGTGCGTGTCTTTCGGCACTGTGCCCCTAGGGTTTGTTCAAAGGGTACTGGTCGTCATGTGATCAACAAGTGGGTGGGTTTTACTACGTTTTTGTGTTGGTGGCGCTGTTTTGTCGTTGGAGTGTTGTTTTCGAGGGGGACAGTTGCTGCTCACTCCTGGGGTGGGGGGAGATCGGCAACCTCACATTCAAGGTGTCAGGCCTGTTCTCAGCACGCGGTGGTAGCGGATGTTATCAATGTCGGGATGTCATGTCAATGTCTCCATCGCACACTCAACATGGATAACATGATGCGATTTGACCTACACGATGTCGTACTCTCCTCTCTTTGGCCTGTTGTTCATGATTCATGAGCTCTTGCTGGACTGGATACAAGTTGTGCTGATGATGGTTGGAGCATGTTCTGCTTGGGCTCGAGCGGACCCGCGTGCAGATGAAGCCCACCGACCACTTTGCGTCGGGTGCAGCCTACAGAGGTCATAGAGGGATATACCCGCGGACACGCGGGAGATAAAGACTGGTACGTGCGGTGTGGGCAGGCAAAGCTGAAAAGCCTGAGGGAGACGGACACTCGGTACAAGAAAACCCCCCCAACGAGGATTACAACTTGTGTTCCGTTGATGGGGCCAATTAGAAAACTGCGGGCACCCTTTTGCTGTAATTGAGCAAGCCGGGGGGAAGATAGTAGACTGCAGCAAACGCCGGAGAAACGCACAGTCACCCTTTCGTCGTTACGAAATAAGTCTAGATGCCCGAACAAGCCCAAATGAAGGAAGATGAGAAAACAAAACAAGGATCCATGATGATAGCAAGGGTTAAGATGCTAGCAAGCGCACGCCCACCCGTAGAAAAACAGAATCGAACTGTACTTTCCAGACACAGACATTTACCTAACCGCGCATGTGATGTGTACCTGAGCCACGGTGAAAGACAAGTCGAAATCGAGCCAACTCTCTTGACGGGAAGGTCCCTTTGCTCTCTTGCTTCCGAACCCCCCCATAAAACGAAACACGATCACGACAAAACCAACGAAAGGCGCTGACTAGAGACAGCATTGCTCCGCAGGCCTGTTAATTTTACCTCAATAACCACAGCACTGAAACATCACGAGAACGCTTAACAAGACGCGAACACCTACAAACCAACCGTCAACACCTGGGATGATGGGAAGGAGCCAACGAAACACCAAAAAAGAGTGGCATACAAAAACTCTCCACAGACTCTCGCCCTCCCCTGCAAACACGTGGCAGGATGCACGGGTTGAAAAACACGCCAAGGTTATCTCATCTCGTGGTTGTCCAGAACCAAATGGAGGCGGTGCAACCACGGGACTCAACTCGAGACCAATCACCTCCGACCTTAAGATATGCGGATCGCTCGACGGCCCCCCACTTGAATCAACCTACGTGAATCCTTTTGACCATTGCGCTCTTATCCTCCCCCCGCTCGGGAAGCTCCACGGAAACCTGTGCTCGCGAGGGCGGTAGTATTCGATGCTTCTCGGTGCACAAGACTTTTCATACCTTGATAAAACAACACACGGAGCCCCTACGATACAAGCAAAACAAATGCAACGAGACCAAGCCCCCCCCCCCCCCCCCCCCCCCCCCCCCCCCCCCCCCCCCC